AACACTACTGTCTACCGCTACTGACCAACACTACTGTCTGTTGCTACTGACCTACACTACTGTCTACCGCTACTGACCAACACTACTGTCTGTTGCTACTGACCAACACTACTGTCTACCGCTACTGACCAACACTACTGTGTGTCGCTACTGACCAACACTACTGTCTGTTGCTACTGACCAACACTACTGTCTACCGCTACTGACCAACACTTACTGTCTACCGCTACTGACCAACACTACTGTCTAGCGCTACTGACCAACACTACTGTCTACCGCTACTGACCAACACTACTGTCTGTCGCTACTGACCAACACTCTGTGTCCGCTACTGACCAACAGTACTGTCTTCCGCTACTGACCAACACTACTGTCTGTTGCTACTGACCAACACTACTGTCTACCGCTACTGACCAACACTACTGTCTGTTGCTACTGACCAACACTACTGTCTACCGCTACTGACCAACACTGTAGTGTCTATACCACTATCTGTACACAACACTACTGTCTACCGCTACTGACCAACACTACTGTCTACCGCTACTGACCAACACTACTGTCTGTTGCTACTGACCAACACTACTGTCTACCGCTACTGACCAACACTACTGTGTGTCGCTACTGACCAACACTACTGTCTGTTGCTACTGACCAACACTACTGTCTACCGCTACTGACCAACACTACTGTCTGTTGCTACTGACCAACACTACTGTCTACCGCTACTGACCAACACTACTGTCTGTTGCTACTGACCAACACTACTGTCTACCGCTACTGACCAACACTACTGTGTGTCGCTACTGACCAACACTACTGTCTGTTGCTACTGACCAACACTACTGTCTACCGCTACTGACCAACACTACTGTCTTCGCTACTGACCAACACTCTGTCTGTCTATGCCAACACTACTGTCTACCGCTACTGACCAACACTACTGTCTACCGCTACTGACCAACACTACTGTCTGTTGCTACTGACCAACACTACTGTCTAGCTACTGACCAACACTACTGTCTGTTGCTACTGACCAACACTACTGTCTGTTGCTACTGACCAACACTACTGTCTACCGCTACTGACCAACACTACTGTGTGTCGCTACTGACCAACACTACTGTCTGTTGCTACTGACCAACACTATTGTCTGTTGTTACTGACCAACACTACTGTCTGTTGCTACTGACCAACACTACTGTCTGTTGCTACTGACCAACACTACTGTCTGTTGTTACTGACCAACGGTACTGTCTACCGCTACTGACCAACACTACTGTCTACCGCTACTGACCAACACTGTTGCTACTGACCAACACTACTGTCTACCGCTACTGACCAACACTACTGTCTACCGCTACTGACCAAGCCAGTAATTCAACAGATATAAAGTAAAATATTGGATAATATACAACCCAGTATTGTTTTGCATAATCCTTGACGAGCTGTAGATTATCCCAGTTATGTTGACTGTACTGTGTTGTTTGACTGTTATGTTGACTGTACTGTGTTGCTTGACTGTTATCTTGATTGTACAGTGTTGCTTGGCTGTTACGTTGACTGATCATACGTTGCTTGGCTGTTACGTTGACTGTACCATACGTTGCTTGGCTGTTACGCTGACTGTACCATACTGCTTGCTGTTACTGACTTACACAGTGTGGCTGTTACGTTGACTGTACCACACGTTGCTTGGCTGTTACGTTGACTGTACCATACGTTGCTTGGCTGTTACGTTGACTGTACAACACGTTGCTTGGCTGTTACGTTGACTGTACCATACGTTGCTTGGCTGTTACGTTGGCTGTACTATACGGTGATTGTCTGTTACGTTGACTATACCATACGTTGCTTTGCTGTTACGTTGACTGTATCATACGTTGCTTGGCTGTTACGTTTACTATACCATACGTTGCTTAGCTGGTATGTTGACTATACCATACATTGCTTGGCTGTTACGTTGACTGTACCATACGTTGCTTGGCTGTTATGTTGACTGTACCATACGCTGCTTGGCTGTTACGTTGACTGTACCATACGTTGTTTGGCTGTTACTTTGTACCATACGTTTCTTGGCTGTTATGTTGACTGTACCATACGTTGCTTGGCTGTTATATTGACTGTACCATACGTTGCTTGGCTGTTACTTTGTACCATACGTTGCTTGGCTGTTATGTTGACTGTACCATACGTTGCTTGGCTGTTATGTTGACTGTACCATACGTTGCTTGGCTGTTACTTTGTACCGTACGTTGCTTGGCTGTTACGTTGTACCACACGTTACTTGGCTGTTATGTTGACTGTACCATACGTTGCTTGGCTGTTACGTTGACTGTACCATACGCTGCTTGACTGTTATGTTGACTGTACCGCACGTTGCTTGGCTGTTATGTTGACTGTACCATACGTTGCTTGGCTGTTACTTTGTACCATACGTTGCTTGGCTGTTACGTTGTACCACACGTTACTTGGCTGTTATGTTGACTGTACCATACGTTGCTTGGCTGTTACGTTGACTGTACCATACGCTGCTTGACTGTTATGTTGACTGTACCGCACGTTGCTTGGACTGTTATGTTGACTGTATCATACGTTGCTTGGCTGTTACGTTGACTGTACCATACGCTGCTTGTCTGTTACGTTGACTGTACCATACGTTGCTTGGCTGTTACTTTGTACCATACGTTGCTTGGCTGTTACTTTGTACCATACGTTGCTTGGCTGTTATGTTGACTGTACCATACGTTGCTTGGCTGTTACTTTGTACCATACTTTGTTTGGCTGTTATGTTGACTGTACCATACTTTGCTTGGCTGTTACTTTGTACCATACGTTGCTTGGCTGTTACGTCGACTGTACTACACGTTGCTTGGCTGTTATGTTGACTGTATCATGCGTTGCTTGGCTGACTTGACCGTCGTGTTCCTTCACTGTAATCTTGACTGACCATTCGTGTTCCTTCACTGTACAGTCAAAATGCACGAACCTAATGCAAAACTTCAAATTATGGGAGATCTTTTAAACCGTAGGGGTGGTACAATGTCTGGAGAATGAGAAGCAATGGTTGGATGCAATACTCTACCCGTGTTGGCCTCGCTATGTGCCCATCGTAGTCAGTGGTCCTCATAATGCTCAACTCTCGTGGCTGTGTCCAGTTCTTCGTTCAGTCTTGTGTTGATCTACTGATAATTAATGTTTATGCAGAAGTACTAAACCCGTAATGGTTATATAACACTTGAGGAATGGGAGGTAATTAGGTTTGATCCAAGAAGGCGATAGTTACTCCAGTTTCCTGGAATATGATTTCTTTACTGACATCAAGACTTCTTTGAAAGGATTCATCATCATAGTAATAATAATAATTATTAATATGAGCAACCAGAACTGCTTCTTGAGTTACTCTTAATGTCTTGGTGTTATTCCATGTAGCAGGAAGCAAGTGGTTCGGAAATGTCACAAGTGTCCCAGGTCCTCGTGTTGGTATATTCCACTGTACAAAGTTTCCTAAACTAGGACTGTCTTGGTTGATTGTTGAGTTAATTGAGATTAAAGCCTATCAACTACACTAGGGTCATAAAGGCTGCGTGTCGCCTCATCACTGCCAAGTCAGGCGTACTTTAAGCCCTAATACAGGAGTTAAACCTTCAGCATTATTATTACACTAGTTTAGAAAAAATACTATAACCATTGTATTGGACTGATAAAGTCACTGGTTGGCGAAACGTTTCCATATTGAAGAATCTCAAGTATTGTACGTGTGTTATTCACCTAAACTGTTATGTATGAGAGATACACACTTCTCGGTGTACATATGTGATGGTAATCTTTTTCTTATACAGTTGAACTTACACGCTGAGAGCTGTTATCCAGCCTCAGCTCGTTTCAGAGTCCTATCTGAGGTGTACTACCACCCCCCAAGATGCCACCCACAACAGTCGACTAACACTCAGGTACCTGCTTACTGCTAGGTGAACAGGTGCAACAAGTGTAAGGAAACATGCCCAACGGTTCCACCTGTGGCGAGGCTGGAACCACAGACCCATTAGCACGTGAGCTGTCACTTCGTCTTCATATCTTCATTCTTCACTCTTGGCTAGTGCTTTGTCTCTTTCCACTGTCGTCCTCATTTCCTGTACACGTTTTCTGTAACCTTGTTCAGTTTGTCTTGCCTTCTGTTTGTTGATTGTTCTCTTAAGATAGTAGTGTTTAATGCCTCTCTATGGAGAATATAAGTCTCAGCAGCATGGCTAAATTCATAACTAAATCAAGAAAATGCTGATAAATGCTTAAATGACTGTTGGACCATTATGAATTCACGACTTGATGATCCAGGACCAGAAACGTCGTTTCAGAATTTGTCTCAGATTTTTGAGTTACATCCAACTGGTATACTGGAGACAGTAGTGAAGAAAAGAAACGTTGCAGAGCAGTTACCGTCACAACGTTTCCCTCTGTACAGAGCTTTTTACAGAGCGAAGCGTAACATGTGTCTTTTCATCAAATTTTTTTTTAGCTTTGAATTGCAATGTTTGGTGTGGCATGTCGCATTCTTTCTTAGTATTTCCTCCATCACTCTACATGGAATGTTGTCAGTTATATTGGTATGTTATTTAGCATATCTGCCTGCCACGTGTGCTTGAATATTGAGATATTGTATAGCGTTCTCCAGGCACCAGCGAGGCTGCTTCTTGCATGTGCCGGGGATACCAGGTATGATAATGTGTATATATATATGATGCTGCTGAAAATAATGACCACACACGCTGGGTGTTGTCTTGGAAGTTTTTGTGTATCTTTCATTGAATTAGCTTAGATATACCTCACACTGTGTTGCACACTATATAAGAGTTACATTGTGGGTCCACCCGCAGTGTGATGTTGCACTCTACATGAGAGTTACATTGTAGGAACACTTGTAGTGTGCTGCTGCATTGTTCTATCTTCATTATATCTTCCAGTCATGAGAAGTGCTAATCAGTATTTGTTTACATTTTCAG